AGGATCCGAAATTTTCATTGTACATTTCCTTTTTTTACTATGTTGTACCTCCGTCCCACATAGTAAGGAAAGACGACCAGACGCTGATAAATTTAGTAAGCTATCAGAAGAGTGTTTACCAACGACAAACTCGTTGGGTTTAAACTTCTGGCTGGCCACGTCTTAGGGTCATCACTGCCCCACTAGGGGGGGAGTGATCTGTAGCGGTAAATAAATCCCCAAAATAAATAGCACTAAGTTTTCGACATTGGATGCTGACCATATGTTTTAGTGGACTCACCTAGCTGAAGGCGCTCGGTCAGGCATCCGCACCAGATCACGTGTGGTAACGCCGTGCTCAACATCAACCGCAATCGCTAGCCAGATTAGATCAGAGAATTCCGATATATTGGTCATCGCCAAATATACTCTTCCGATCTCCTCGACTCTGTCTTTTGATTTCTCCGGGCGGGAACGAAATATATTAGGTGTTACTGGTAGAAGCGTTGTCAAACACTGAATACCTGTGACATCAACAATAAGATAGCGATAAGTATGTTTGGTGTTTATTTCTAAACTGTACATCTATCACTGACCATATTTCATGATCACTGTCATTAAACAATTTCCCCAGCAATAACATTGGTAGCAAGATAGCTAAGTGTCTGAGCTTTTAGTTGCTCGCAAAACAGCAGTATACAGTCTTAGAAGATGAGTGTTCTGTGTCTCAATTAAATGCAGCTAGCTGTGGACAAATGTTAAGAATCTTTTTGACAACTGGGACTTTTGGTTTATCAGACACTTACTCTGCTTGTATGTTTTCCTATTAAACTAGACGCAGATGCATGGGAATACTTAAATGGGAGCAAAATAATAATAGCATTGCAATACGGTACTAAGCCCATGTTATGCTTTGCGCAAGTAATAGTAGCTGACCTTATCTAATATTCATGAACTCAAGGTAAACCACAACTGCATAAATTCTTTGCTAAAACACATGTGATTTGGTTATTTATATATTCCACATTTCTGACTAAATTCATCAATATTTTTTCATTTAGAATGTAACAGGAGTGAGCCTTCACAGACCCTAAAAACTGTTTAGCCCTTGGAACTATGGCCCTATGGAACTGTTTACGGGAGATCCAACGAACAGCAGATTATAAAAAGGATGCTGGACGTCCATTTTAGTCTCACAACCACTTCCAGTATTTTTTGACTTCTTTTACTCTTTCGTTTGGAAAAAAACAACAAAAACTGCAGCTTAACATTACCAATACAACTTTTAAACGGGAACTTGGTTTAAACCTTTGTTTGATATTCGATTCTTAATGAAAGTTCTTCAATAAATTTTTGAATCTAATGCTACTTTGTTTTATCTACATAATCGTTGCAAGAAACTTGTGATAAGCGAGCCTCTCAGCACCTAGTTCATGTGTTCAAATGGTTGTGGACTAAATAGAAGCTTTCGCTTAACAGGATTCCGTGTCTATTAGCAGGGGATCACCAATACCTCAAGGCAGGAAACTAGGTATGTTAACAATAAAAGAGGAAAAAGAAATTGGTAAGTCATAGTATGATACTATACTTAGTCCTTAAGAATAAATCCAGTTGCCTCTTAAAGGACTCCTGGGAAGTCGCTTGGACTAGCTCGGCCGGCAGCGAGTTCCAGCTTTTGACAACTCTTAAGGAGTAGAAGTTGTGCCTACAGTCCGTTCTGCTATGTTGTGTCTCTAGTTTCTGGGTGTTACCCCTTAGGTTAGTGTTGGAACTAAGCTTAATTAGGTGTTTTAGGGGATGTCCAGAAGTGCTAAGGTTATTGTAAGCCATTAGGTCACCTCTAAGACGTCTATACTCTAATGAGTGGAGGTTAAGTGATTGAAGGCGCTCTTCATAAGGTGATTTGGTGCATATCTTCGTTATTTCCTTGGGAGACCTACAGACTCGGGTCCTCTCATAGCTTATTCTAACCACCATGGCTTGTCACGCCAGCTGATGGATGGACATGCGTTACACATCCTAAACGTGCCTGCCTCTTATCTTATAGCTTCTAATTCAAATGCCATATGACACGCAAGCAATGCCCTTACCCGCACTAATGGAACATTAGTAACTCAAATGCACCCCGTATGGTACCTTACACTTGTTTACGCACTCACTTAGCTCTTTAGTGAGAATATTAATACGGTCCTGCTGAAAATCCCATACCTCCATCAAAACAAATAAGTCTGTATTTGCAGCATATAGCAATTTTATTATTCAAAAGTAAGATATAACATTTAGAATTGGAATGAAATGGCAGTATACAGCAGATGCACGTGGTACATGTCTTCATCGATTAACTGAAATAGAGAATATGGATATTAGCTTAACAGGCTTATTTAGAAAGACTAGTGTCTAATTTGAACTTACTGCGTGAGAAAGTTATACTGGAACTACGAATGTTGTAGAAATAGAGCTTCTCGGGGCGTACGAAGCACTCAGACTGTAAGATAAATAATTCGAATAGTTAGGAACGAACATGCGAACAGTTAGAGTCACAGGCGATAGGAACAATCATCTTATCTAAATAAAAACGAACTTCGGCTTCGGATATCTAGAAAACAAGGTAAAACATAACCGATTGTCGTTTAAAAACGTAAGGTATTATGTTAGTACTAGCCAGCTTAGCTGAATACAGTGACTTCATTAGCAGCAGGTAAAACCCAGAAAACAAAGCAAAATCAGGAAAAATTTTGCTTCAACGTTCAGGGTATTACACTAACTTCTGGATTTTAGCACACTGAAACATCAAATTCTGTAGCTACACAAAAGAAATAGCGGAAAAAACACAGAACGAAGAAAGCCGGTCGACATTTTATAACACAAGACTAGCCAGATTGCCCGAAGAAATACATTGACTTGAGTAGAAGCAGCAAAAACCCAGAAAACATCGCTGATTCGAAATAAACTTCACACCAACATATAGAACATTACACTAACTGCGGCATCTTAGCACACTGAGATATTAAATTACATAGCTACACAAAAGAAATAGCTGAAAGAAGCACAGAACGAAGGAAGCCGACCGCCATTGCTTACGAAGATGGCGGATGTAATAATTCCTGCCTCATTCTGATTGGTTGCTAAGCTGAAGGGCACATTTACGAAATTGAGTTGCGTTTAATTGCAGCCTCGTTAGTGCCTCGGATGTTCCAGAGGAGTATGAGGTTTATAGAAGCTCTCAAATTTACATGGGTTTACTCCTGATTATCAGTTGCGCGACGCGACGTAAACTCAACAAAGCGCGTCAACTGTCATATTGACAATACGGACCTTTCTGATATTATTTACATTCATATGTGAGAAAGGTTATCCCCCACAATTTTATGATCAGTGTACTTTATATAATTATTAGACTAACTGAGTAACCCACCATAGTGAAGACTGTATCTTCTGTAACAGTTTGATCTTGCCTGTAATCTGGAATGACTCATGTAACAGACTCTCTTGGGTATACATTATTATCATTATTATTATTAATAAGTGCTTGTTCTGTGGCAAGTTTCGCCCACGTAATTCATGTGCACTTCGTAATTATAAATGCTTAAAACGTAGTACGATTGGACACATACAGGGAGTTTATAATATTACTATTTATTTTGCTGCAAGCGAAATTCCGTTCCTATTAAATTGCGGATTTGTAATGATCATTTATTTTTATGCACGATTTCGAAATGCAGCATAGAGTCACATAGCAGTCCAGAATTAAATAACAATTGTAATCATTGTAAGACAAAAGTTCCTAGTCAATCAACTTCTTTTCCGATTTTTCATGTTAATGTACCAGATATAGTTTTTCCTTACGATTCACATATTTCAACGAAATGTCTTATTAATCTGAGGAAAATATGTTGAATGAGTCAAATTATGGTCGAAAATCTGAAGTTTTGATAGATGTTGATTTTTCTAGTGATACATTATTCTTTAACGATATTCTTAATAGACTTGGGGAAAATATTTCAAAGCAATCAAATCGTGATATCATATCAAACGTTATTTGTCCTCACAATCGATTTATCTTTAGTGATATCCCTAATGAATGTGATGAATATTTTCCGAATCAATCGAATCCTAGTCACTTTTCGGATGTTAGTGTTGAAGAGTACAGTCAAAATTCAGGAAACTCCTCTCTAGAAGTACCCCAAGTTGAAGTGCTAGTACCCTATGATATGAAGTCTTACTCTAACTGTGACAAAAATGCCTTCCGAGCAAACCTTGCACTGGTAACATTGAAGCGCATTTTTGGCCAGTTTGACGGAAAAACTTTCCATATAATCTTCAACAGTTTTATTCGTCCCTATTTAGAGTACGGAAACATGGTATTTCCTCCCTCATTCCAAAAGGATGAGGACACTCTGGAGCGTATCCAACGGCGAGCCACGAAATCAGTTCGAGGACTCAAATTTAAACCTTATGAAGAGCGCCTTCAATCACTTAACCTTTACCCATTGGAGTATAGGCGTCTTAGAGGTGACCTTCTGATGGCTTACAGTATCCTTAACACTTATGGGCATTCTATTAAACAACTTCTTAAGTTTAGTTCCAACACTAACCTAAGGGGTAACACCCAGAAACTGGAGACACAACATAGCAGAACGGACTGTAGACAACTTTTACTCCTCAAGAGTTGTCAAATGCTGGAAGTCGCTTCTGGATGAGCTAGTCCAAGCGACTTCCCAGGAGTCCTTCAAGAGGCAACTTGATCTATTCGTAAGCATTAAGGATAGTATCATACTATGATTTGCCAATTTCTTTTTCCTCTTTTATTGTTAACATACCTAGGTTCCTGCCTAGATGTTATGGTGATCCCTTGCTCTTAGACTCGGAAGCCTCATAAGCGAAAGCTTCTTCCATTCCGTCCATAACCATTTGAACCACTTGAGACATTTGTGGTATTCTTGTTTAGATGCCTCGACCTATGTTGTGTATTGCAAGATCAATTACTAATAGACACGGAAGTCTGTTGTAAGTAAGCCATTTTTATTTAGTACACTTAACTATGAGATAGTTTAAGATTTGTTAAACATATTCAAGACATATAATGTTTAATAAGCGCATTAGTCAATTCAAGGACATGGAAGGCAGTAACAATCGAGAAGATGAGGAGGTACTTCTTTTTCTAAGACTTCATACAATTTTGAATAGGTAGAACAACCCGTGCTTGTGGAAGAGCCATTGGACCTTATTAGACTAAGCTTGGATGAAAAAATATACGTTAAAATGAAACGTAACCGTGAATTGCGAGGTGTCTTACACGTATGTTAATGTTTGATTACACACCCCTTTGATGTTACAATCAATGAGTATCTCTGTATCCTTCTTTAGCTTGTTGCCTTATTTTGGTCTCTTGTGAGAGTATGAACACTTAGACGTTAATTACAGGTTTTTAACTCTAGATTAGAGGATTACAGACTTAACTCCTGTTGATTCAGTGACTAGGCTTAGTGCAACCACCACAGCGTGATATCTGTCATGACAAAACTATAACATCCGCGATCCAAACTTTCTTCTAGATCAAGATGTCACATGCACTTTCTAGTTTCCAGAGAAACTAGAAACAGCTCTGTTGTCTCTCTCTAAAATTATGTTTTGTAACTCAGTATTTTGATTCTAAATATACTCAGTATTATTTTCATTACGATGTCAAGTTTGTGTAAACATATTGGTGATTTGTGTCTCTAGATTATATTCTACAAACTCATGTTTTGGGCCTAAAAAGTCTTCGTTCTCTGGAGGAAGTCTATTTCAGAAACAAGTATTGTTTTAAAAATATTATGCCGTTATAATACAGATCGTGTTTTCTGACACAAGTTGTCTTATGATCCCTGTTTAAACATTCCATACAGTACACAAAGCTCTTTTAAACAATCTACTTTCATTGTAATAATGTACTATATTTCCCAGACGGTAAGTAACATCCATCTTTAAGTAGCCATAATACTGGTCTCACTTAGTCCATTTCCCGGTTCGTAATGTACTTGACAAGGTCGACTAATTTGAACCTTACTAGTGAACATTCTACTTTAATATATGTCTTGTTCTTTGTTTCTGCTCCGTCATGGCTTATCACGTTAGGTTTCGCAAGTCAGTTTATTCTGTAGATCTATTTTATATACATGTAACCCTTGTAAACATAGAGTTGGGCTTTTCATCCTTCGGCGGTCCTATGCTTCATGTATCATTGCTTTTTTGCCAAAATTTGAATCGACGTATGTTACGCACTATTTGTAGTTAATAATCACACGATGGTATTTCAAAACTATGCAGTTTACTAATTGGTGACCTTCCTTATTCAAATAAGCTTAAAGTTACGATTTTAGTGGTCAAGGCACTATACTCTAATCCAGTCGACCCCCAAATGCCCTGGTATGGTTAATGGTCGAGTTCGCTCTCACATGGTCATACGTATATACCCATTGTCGGGAAAGTCCTACTCACTGCATTCGCACTGAGAGGATGTTGTTTACGAAGTTGAGAGAACGGAAAGCAAATGTCCGGTGCTTTGACCGGGTCGATGGAGGCAAAGGGTCCACCTGGGGGAGTCGGAAAAACCTGGTTTCAAATCAATGGTGCACATGGGCTCCAGGATCCTGAATAAACAAAAGGCGTATGCGCCTACTGTTGACCACTAGCTATTATAAGACTGCGTCTTCTGACGTTGCTCCACCACCTTGTTGATTAGACCTCTAGGTCAAAGGCTCAGGAAGTGACCCCCTAAGAAAACCACTTGGTTCGGTTTAGACGCTCAGGCACTATTCCATCCCTCACACAAATCGAATGATGAGATGTGGCGCATACATGTTTTGTATGTCTGAATAGGTAAATAAATAGTCGGTCACCAATTACAATGCACTTATATTTCAAGGCAAATATTCCTTCTATATATTTCTCTTAAACTATGATTTATAAAATATATTAATTTGCTTCGTCTCTTTCCGCATTTCATTCATATTCATGCACACACTACAGTCTTTTCTCGACTCCAATTTACTCGTGAACTTTGCTCCGATGACCCTAGGTGTATAAATATCCTACGTCACCTACAATCTTAGCCATCAAATTAAATAATGTATGGATTGGCATGTGAAAATAATTGGTTCTTAAACTTCAGTGATATATAACCAGTGTGAAAACCTCATGTATTTTACACGGTGTCTGGTGTTCAAATTGTTTTGTTACTCATCTGTATAAGCATCATCATCAAAAGTGCACTATTTTGTTTTTTCGATACCCTATTTCGTCAAGTCTAAGAGTACTGGTATGCTGTTTGAATACACATTTCTCAGCCCTACTGACCCTAAATTTATATGCCAAATGTACCATCTGCTAGACATAAGTACAATATAATGCTTGATATTATCTACCTGAGGAAGTGTTTCCTTATGATTCTAAGGATTTATCAAACGGTCTTCCGAGAAATATAATGTCTTCTGTTCGTTATTAATAATGTGCGCCTTCATTTAGATTCATGTACTCAGAATCAAGCCATTGTTCATAGTATGACTATTGATGGTACTTATACTGAAGGCCGGTTCCAAACTTGCAACTTAATGTTCAAAAATGGAGTGCGTTAAATACTAAGAAAGCTTTCCACAAATTTGTAATGACTTTATTATCAATCTCTACTTACTGTTAGATTTGAGACAATGTTTGTCATCACAGACAATGCTAGTGCATGTTTCTACACAAAATGTAGTTATTGATAAAGGTGTACAGAATCTCCATAAAGGGTGATATAAGCCAACCGAAAGAATTTGTTTCCTTAGCCTGCCATCATAAAAGTTTTAACAAAATAACTACTATGCTTCATTTATTATGGCTGGGTAACGACCCTTTATTTTTTTCACCTTTGGCGATTATCAGTTAATTGTAAACAGAGATAATTGACAGGTAGTTACACTTAGCTTGTCTATTATTATTGCTAGACCAAGCAACATGTGTAGTTGATCTGTATTTAGTTTACATATATCGCTCTTCAGGTTTCGATGACAATACTGTCTTCTATGAAGTGACCTGACACTGGTAAATCCGGAAACAACTGCACTCATAGTTAATGCACGGTATATGAATTTGGTTATCCTTCTTTATTCTATAAGTGACAGTTGTACTACATTTTTGTTTTTGCCTTTTGCACGTGATCTTTTAAGCGTAGACTCCATTAGAGATAGCGTCAAGTGGTAATAATGATAGGTTCAGTATTTCATAACAGTCAGTTATAATACGAGTCATAAGCCATTACACAAGTATAATATAATAAAACAGTCCCCCCAGATATAAACAGTTTAATGTATTTTAACTGAAACAGGCTTTCGACTCACATTTGAACATGATTCTGGGGAATGTTGAAGAAACTGTAACAACATTGGAGATAGATGAGGAAACATATGAAGAAGTTTACAAGGTAATCTATTTTGACCTCTAACAAAATACCCTTCATTGTAGACTACAAAGCGCACAATACCCATGCTGTTTATTCGCGGAGATGGTGTTATCCTAGTTTCGCCTCCACAAAAGGACTAACTCTTGTACAGTCAATTTTTATGCATCGTAATCCATATCCATCAATAAAACATGTAATTTAACAACAGTTTGAATATTTCACTCAGTAAATAGTCCTATAACGTTTCAGCAGTACTGTAAGATGTTTGGCACACTAATAGTTCTTTAATAACCTATCCCGATCTTGTAATCCTCTGCAAATTAAAATACAAGCATTGAACTATTCATTTTCGAAATGGCAGTGGATTTTTTTTTACTAGGAAGTATCGACCAGATAATAGTAAGACATTTTCAGCAATTTTCAACGAAGAGTTCGATAAAAATGGGAACACAAGGATATAATATGCCGATTATTTAATAAGTAAACTGGCAAAGTGTAAACTGATTCTCAAAGTTTTAATACCGAAGTGTGGTACTCCAATAAGAATCCAGTGAAACTTTTCTATGCTTTAGCATAAATTGTTATTTAGTTATAAATTCAAGCAGGTGTTGGTGTGCATCTGACATAGATGCCGAATTCGTGCATCCCAAAACCGTTCCTCCCTAGAACTCAAAATAGACTGTTTCTGAGGAGAATTCAAGAATGGTAATCAATACTGTTCCAAAGTTCTGGATAATAATTGGAGTTATTGGATCAAGTTCTGTATATTGTAGTCCTACTAATGACTGGTTTGAGTAAAACAGTAATAATATTTTACCATAACATTGATTACTTCAGGTTCGAATAGTGTCAGAAATTTGATTCGTCAGGCCACTACTTACTTACTTACGCCTGTTACTCCCAATGGAGCATAGGCCGCTGACCAGCATTCTCTAACCCACTCTATCCTGGGCTTTCTTTTCTAGTTCCATCCAATTCTTGTTCATTTTTCTCATGTCTATTTCCATTTCCCGGCGTAGTGTGTTCTTTGGTCTTCCTCTTCACCCCCATTGGCCTTGAGGATTCCATGTGAGGGCTTGTCTTGTGACGCAGCTGGATGCTTTCCTCAATGTGTGTCCTATCCACTTCCAGCGCTTCTTCCTGATTTCTTCCTCCACTGGGATCTGGTTTGTTCTCTTCCACAGTACGTTGTTGCTAATAGTGTCTGGCCAATGGATCTGAAGTATTTTGCGTAGACAATTGTTAATAAACAACTGTATTTTCTGGATGATGGCTTTTGTAGTTCTCCAGGTTTCTGCCCCATACAGTAGAACTGTCTTGACATTTGTATTGAAAATCCTGACCTTGGTGTTGGTTGACAGTTGCTTTGAGTTCCAGATGTTCCTCAGTTGTAAATATACTGCTCTTGCTTTGCCGATCCGCGCCTTCACATCTGCATCAGATCCACCCTGTTCATCAATGATGCTGCCCAAATACGTAAAGGTTTTTACATCTTCCAAATCTTCTCCGTCAATTGTGATTGGATTGGTGCATTCTGTGTTGTATCGGAGAATCCTGCTTTTCCCTTTGTGTATATTGAGACCTACTGCTGCCACACTGTTCGTCTTCTCCTGCATCTGTTGTTGCGTTTGGGATAGAAGGACCAGATCGTCTGCGAAGTCTAGATCATCCAACTGTATCTTCGATGTCCATTGTATCCCGCGCTTTCCTTCAGACGTTGACGTCTTCATGATCCAGTCGATCACCAGGAGAAAGAGAAAGGGTGAGAGTAAGCAACCTTGCCTAACACCGGTCTTCACTTTGAACGACTTTGTCAACTGTCCTCCATGCACGATTTTGCAGTGTAATCCATCATATGAGTTCTGTATGATGTTGACTATCTTCTGAGGCACGCCGTAGTGTCGAAGAAGTTTCCATAGTGTTGTTCTGTCCACGCTATCAAATGCCTTTTCGTAGTCAATGAAGTTGATGTAGAGTGATGAATTTTATTCAATTGATTGTTCCACAATGATCCGTAGAGTTGCGATTTGGTCTGTACACGATCTATCCTTACGGAATCCTGCCTGTTGGTCACGAAGTTGGGCGTCTACGGAGTCCTTCATCCTGTTTAACAATACCCTGTTGAAGACTTTTCCCGGTATTGAGAGAAGAGTGATGCCCCTGTAGTTATCACACTTGCTGAGATCGCCTTTCTTCGGTATTTTGATCAGATGTCCTTCTTTCCAGTCTGTTGGTACTTGTTCCTCATCCCAAATCTTATTGAAGAGAATGTGGAGTATCCTTGCAGTTGCCGCTACGTCTGCTTTTAGTGCCTCTGCTGGGATGTTGTCCGGTCCTGCTGCTTTGCCACTCTTGATTTGTCTGATGGCCATGCTGATTTCTTCAATTGTTGGTGGGCCAACATTGATTGGGAGGTCCGTGGGTGCTGCTTCGATGTTGGGTGGGTTCAGTGGAGCTGGTCGATTCAACAGTTCTTTGAAGTGTTCTACCCACCTGTTTTGTTGCTCTTCAATGTTGGTGATTACCTTGCCTTCCTTACTTTTCACTGGTCGTTCTGGTTTGCGGCGATTTCCAGAGAGTTTCTTTGTCGTGTCATACAATTGTCTCATGTTTCCTTCTCTTGCAGCCGTTTCCGCCGTCATTGCTAAATCTTCCACATATTTACGTTTGTCGGTTCTGATGCTCCTCTTCACTTGTTTGTTTATTTCCGTGTATTCAGCTTGTGCCTTGGCTTTTTCTGCTCTTGTTCGGCTGGTATTGATTGCTGCCTTCTTGTTCCTCCTTTCTAGAATCTTATCCAGTGTACCAACAGTGATCGATTCCTTGTGATGGTGCTTCTTGTGACCCAGGACCTCATGACGTGTTGAAGTGATTGTCTCTTTGATCCCCTTCCAGTTGCTCTCCACAGTAGTTCCTTCTCCATTGAGTAGATCATGAAAAGCCTGGAACTTGTTGCTGAGGACTATCTTGAATTTGTTGAGTTTGTTAGTATCCTGGAGAAAGGCCATATTGAACTTTTGTGATACTGTCTGCCCCGTTGTCCAGTGCTTTTTGAGTTTCAATTTCATCTTGGCGACCAGTAAGTGATGATGTGATGCTATATCAGCTCCTCTCTTGGTTCTCACGTCCTCTATAGTCTTCCTGAACGTTTTGTTGATGCAAATATGGTCGATTTGGTTTTGTGTAGAGTGATCCGGTGAAGTCCATGTGGTTTTGTGTATGCGTTTATGTGGGAATATGGTGCCGCCTATGACCAGCTTATTGAAGGCACATAGATTTGCAAATCTCTCACCATTTTCGTTTCTTTCTCCCAGTCCGTGTCGTCCCATGATGTCTTCATATCCAGTGTTGTCCGTCCCAACCTTGGCGTTGAAATCTCCCATCAGAATGGTCAGGTCCTTTGTTGGGCACTTCTCGACGATTGACTGCAGCCTATTGTAGAATTGATCTTTAGCGTCTTCATTGTAGTCGTTGGTAGGCGCATAGCATTGGATGATGTTCATTGAAATGCCCTCTTTCTTTGTTTTAAACGAGGCTTTGATGATCCTTGGTCCATGAGATTCCCATCCTATGAGTGTATTTTGTGCTTGTTTGGACAGCATCAATGCAACTCCTTGTGTATGTGGTGCATTTTCTTCTTCATGGCCGAAGTATAATAGGAGCTCTCCTGTAGTTAGTCGTTGTTGTCCAACTTGTGTCCAATGTGTTTCACTGATCCCAAGTACCTCTAGGTTGTATCTTCTCATTTCTGCAGCAATCTGGAAGGCTCTTCCGGTGTCCCACATTGTACGAACATTCCATGTACCTAAATAAATGGTCGCTCTGGTTGTCAGAAGGGGCATCGGCCTCGTAACTTCCGAAGGAATTCGGCTTTCATCATGAGGCGTCATAATTCTTCTAAATGAAGACCTTCTGACTCCCAGGGCAGAGTTTAAAAGGTTTGAATAATTTTTTCTAATAAGCGTTTTTTTAGCGAGTTAGTTTTCTACGGGATGGGGACGCTAAACCCATGCCCAACCCTCCTTTATCCGGGCTTGGGACCGGCAGTAGCCCCCGGAGGGACTCCAGGCGGAGTTGTCAGGCCACTAGCTAAGAAATATTTTTAAGGATAAAATAGTTTCAGTGAAAAGATATTTTCCTACGTGCTTCTAAAAAGTATATACCTCATCGGAAATTTAAACGTAGGCAAGTTGATCAAACATCACTTTATTTAAAAAAACTCGCGAAATACCAAACAGTAGAAATTTCAAGAGCAATGTCAGCGCCACGCTTCGGAGAAGTACATCAGTAAAGATCGCAGTGATGGTTCATAGCTTAAAAAATTCAATATGAATAAGTATCATACTTTCTGCATACTGCAATCAAAACATGGATGTAGCAAATTAATAATCACCTCCCAAAACACTAACGAAACTAACCGATAGATTGCTTATCGAGTGGCATCTCCCTGGCGAACTTTACTCAACTGTTACATCCAGCTTGACAGTTGTTCTACAATTAATGATTTAAAGTTACTGATAATGAGGACCAGTATAAATTAAGGTCCAATCATTGTTTTATCAGTCTGCCAATAGAAGCGAGATGAACCATTTTTATAACCGTACTGATATTTGTGGCTGCGTAGTTTATGTACAATCACCTGATGTTCCTCATGGTAGACAGCGAACCCCACTTAGATAGCAGTTAACCAATGGTGAAAATCAATTAATCATAACCAGCACAACCCGACACCAATGAATATCGTCTAAATTATTTGTAACAACGATTCCCATTTTCGAGCATAGGCCAAAATTAAGAATTACTCCAAAGGTGAGTGTTCATTTATAGCTCTGGAAACATAAAAATCCCACGCAAACTTGATTTACTTCAAACTTACAACATGAAATGAGTAGAAGTATCTTAAGTAATACATACACTGAAATTGGAAGAGTACACCGTGATACTAAGCACGGGATAGAAGAGAAACATTTTACAGAATTCGTATGTCAACAATTAACAGTAATGAAATTAGTTAAGCCTGTAAACACTAACTGGGACCGTAACACACTCGGGTCTAAAAGAGTGGAAAGTGAAAACGTTATTCAATCTGATATTTATGCTTCATAATCTAGAGAAAGGATAGTTGAACTATAAACGTTCCCACGAAATCAAGCTATAAAAACTGTTCAAAATAATTAATGCACAATGTATAAAAATTTTCGAGAAAAAAATAAAGGACAAAGTGATCAAACAGATACATTGAGATCAATTTCGTTGACAGTACTTCTGATATGTACGCTGGATTGCTCGATAAAACGTAAAATAACGTCTGACCACTTGTTACAAAGCCAAGTATCATTATGATGACCATCCGGAAAACTCACAAGACCATCTTTTCCAGAATTAATGAAGGTAACTGGGTTTTGGGAAAGCGAGTTAGGGTTTGGGGAGTCGTCGTACATTACGCTCGAACTACGCTCATTTCGAATATGCTGTTTTGTCACTATATTTTCATAAGCTTCAGCAAGCTTCCACATCATTTTTGGTGGAATAATATTATCCAACTCACCTGAGATAAGCAAAAGAGGTGGGAAAGCTGAGGATTTCTTTCTAGATTTGCTACAACTTTGAAGTCTAGCCAAGGAGGTATATTGATTTGAGAACAACCAAGAGGGCAATTTACAGGGTATATTGAGGATATGACTTGCAGCATCAGTGATAGATGTAAACGTATTTTCAATAATAACACCACATATTTTCTCACTTGATATAGGATCCACTGCCAAATAAATACCTAACGCTCCTCCCAATGATCGACCAAGTACAAATATTTTTTTATTGTTCAGATCACTTCTCATGTATAAATAATTAAGAGCACACGTACAATCTGCATATAAGCCCTCTTCACTTGGCTTTCCGGTACTCTGACCATAACCTCGATAGTCTATAATAAAAATATTACATTGAAAACGGTTTTCTAAAACTTGACACATTGGTAGCCGGGTAGTAGAGTTTCCTGCATTTCCATGCAAAAGAAGCACAACTGGACAAGACTTTCTGCGACATAAATCAGGCTGAAGAAGAAGGAAACCAATAATTGTTGGCCCAGTGTTGCCATTAGGACATAATTTTACCAATTCCCATGTAGAAAATCCAAAACATGATGGATTCATGTATAAAAATTTCGAAGACGGTGGTTCATCACAAGCATAAACTATTGTCTGTTCTAGGTACTGAAAACAAAACCATAAAGCAAGTAACAATAATAAAACAGAAATTAAGAGAGAAAGGGGCAAAATTAAATAATCGAGCGACAACGAAATTGGTATCCCAAAAATAATAAGAATAAACAGGCCAGGAATACGAAATGATTTGTTGCAGTTTGTTAATGGGCAAAAAGGCTTTGGATTTATAATCCAGTAACTGAACTGAGAACGAATTGGCCGTAGAAGAAGAAACAAACGTCCAACTAAACCTCGTCGCATTGTTAAGCCTTCATTCAAGCATGAATTCGATTCACTCACGGGAGTTCCTGAGGTCTGAAATGAAAGCCAAGAAACACATGCAAAATTACTTCGTAAAAACTGGATAAAGATTCAACTTTTGAATGTAAAGAATCTGAATGCTACTAGAAGAGCAAATCAATCAGGTGTATTCAGTTTCGCAAAAATGAGAAACATGTAGTTTGCTAACAGCAACAACAAGAGTAATCAAAAGAAACACAAAACGTGATTCTCCGACCAACAATAAAGTGAAGAAATATGGCAAACACAGTGTTGTAAACATATGTATGGTTTTAAGACGACAATGCTACGGTGCTCATCTTCAAATGCAAGAACTTTGCGTATCTTAAGATATACTGAATTTGCGCTATCAGGGGATAAAAAAAAAGACCAGTTTGTATCACATCCATACTACAACACAAAAGGTCGAATAAATGCACAACAGTCCTTTTGTGTTAATCCAAAGTCACAAATAATTAAAACCATCTGCCGTAAATTTTAAAGTTTCAATATCAAATCGTTACTTCAAATAACACGAATCATAGCTACTAATAACAACATGATAATACATATTGTGTCAGTACTAATAAGGAATTGTTTCTGGGTAACCCCTAGTATTATCCGATCGGATTCGCTGATTATTAATTATTTGAGATCTGATGACAACAATCCAATTTCGACTAATTACAATCATCTAAGCAATATTGGTATACAATAAAAGATTATGTCGTGTTTGTATGGAAGTTATCCAGGGTTCTATGCTGTTAAAATAAATGGATTGTGAAATCCCAAACTTATTTCACTAAACTAGACTTTCCAGACCTGTCAGAGAAGAGTTATAACCCCATAAATTAGAGCTTCCAACGTTCTTAATAATAAATGTTAGAACGGAACACAAACTAGGTTGATAGGTAATTTGCATTTGTAAACACCTCCAGTGAAATCGGGAAGTGACTATAATTTGATACATGAATGTTCTGAAACCAATAACAACTAACAAAAAATCTGAAAAGCCAAATCCATTCTACTAAATACTGTTTAATAACCAACTCTCTTGAATATAGATATGAACTCGAAACATACGTTTCCATGTCAATAAATAATCAGGGTTGCTAAGAAAAACCAGTCGATTTCTTGGAGTACATATAAAGTCTCTACAATGATGAAAAACATGGAATGTCCCAAAGTCTGTCAAGTAACGGATTTAGCGAACAGATCAGCTAGAAATCATGCAATTTGTATTGGTCTGAATGAAAAAAATAGGTTAAATTAGTGTGTCTCTTATGAAGACATTTCCCAGCTGAGGTCGCAAACATTTTTGGTATTCAAAATTTAGTATAAAATATTTCTTTCGGAGTTGGTTATGTGGGATTTAGTGCCTAAACCATTCCGCGGAACAGACTCAAGAAACATGAGAAATTCTGATTTATGAAGATCCAACGTTTTGGCCTACATGTCATGAGTGACTGCTAATTATAATCTTCGGGTTTTTAACTTGTTCTACATTTTAGTCGTCGAAAAACTATATTGAACCAGTAGTCATAAAATGACAATAAAAGTCTTCGGTTGAGTTCAAATGTTGACAGTATTATAGAATGAAAAGTATCTTGTGCTATCAGGATTAGTGTCTTTCAGTCTAAATTTTTCAATCTCAACTGGATTCACCGAAAATCAAATAACTATGTTTAGCGTCAATGCAGATAGAATTAGTCTAAAAAATGCGAATCAATAAGCCACACTGCTAGCATATTCGTACTACATCCGAAGTCAGCAAAACCGAAAACTAAGTTAGAATAATATTAACCTAGAGTAAGTCAGTTTTTCCAAGTGAAAAATAAAACACCGCGTACCATCTTCAGCACACTTATACTCCAAATACTAATAATATGGTGGTGATCATCTCGACACGTAACAAGGAACCAAGAAGAGCATAAGTGACCTACAACATAGAAACGCGATCATCATATGCCAAAATTCACAAATCTGATAGTTAATAAATTCGCTTTATTCGGCTATTCTACATGTAAGTGGTTACACAGAAATGAAACTAGGTTTTACGCTGCATGACTGTATGCTACTGTCTAGTGGTACGAAATTGTCAAGGTTTATAAATAGCCAAATGCATTCAAATGCAGAACAAAAGAAAACGCAAAAATGATAAACCTTATCCTGAAATTCAAAGAAGATTTGTGGATGATATGTACGTCTAAAGTGGATTACGAACATTTATGGTAGTTATTAGGGGATACAAAAAGCAACGTAAAAGAAAAAGAAAAGTCTTGGATAATTTATACAATTTATTTATACAAATCAGAATAAAAAACATTTGTACAAAAGTAAGTCATCTGAGTATGTTATTTAAGCACTAAGTCCAGCTTTTTTCTCTGCAATCACATATATTAACAGACGCCACATTTTTACAACAAATACTTCTGCCTCCTCATCTAAAACCTGAAGATAAAAATCACAAACCAAATGATAATAGTATTAAAGCCATATAATTAAATGCATTTGATACGATGATAATAATTTGAATATACGTATGTAATCGACGTTGCAATGAACCACATATGATGTAAACAAACACTAATGGTGTGAACCTTTGTAAGATTGTTCTATCATAAAACTAGGTCGGTAAGTTTGTATGAACGACATTACTCACAAAACTAGAAATAGATTCCCACTTAGTAGACAATTAATGTTCAACACTAAAATGGTAGGTTGGACATAGTTTGGGAAACCATAATCTGTTTGTCTAGAATAGCTCGAAGCCGAAAAGTATCTAAGAATGATTCTTCAAAGTAATCCTTTGACCACTATTTTAAATTTGCAACTGCTCTGAAAAGTTAGTGTCAGTTATAACCATAACAATGGTGACCCAAAAATATGGTAGTTCACCCCACCCCAATAACTCTGACTTAGACCCAATTGTATTTAACTACCAATCAGTGAAAATTGTTGTGAATTATTTTTTATTGCATTACTTAATATTGGTCGATATGTAGCACTCTCCCATTTTCTGGCTATATTTATTCTATATTCTAATGTGTGACAATGTGATCAATTATATGAGACGTAAAGCAAAAACATTCACAAAAAGCATGCACCTATTTAGGTTATTGGACAATGAGAGAATAACGATGCGAGGAAATGGAAACGATTGGAAATAATGTTATTGATAAACTGAAGGAAAAAGTGTGAAAACCAACCGAAAATAAGAAATCGGTGGCTTCACAGAATAAAAATTAAGTATTCCGTATATTTGGGATGGATTTTGAGATCAACATCTTAAGCAATTAGTTTCTATAGTCCTGTTTATACTCACACATTTGATATAACGACAGAAACTATATATATATATATATATATATATATATATTTCACGTTTAACTTCTTCCTAGCAATATATTTGTTTTTTAATGGGTAGTTTTCGATACCAGAGATAGTAAAGCTTGATGAGTATAAATCGGATTCGATAGCTGAAACATAATCGCTAAATAACCTCTGAATGTAATGCTTAATATATTTAATTACTTTATTATTTATTTTTAAGATGTGTCGAGATTGTTTATTCTCAATATGTAATGCAAACCAAAGATTTCTACCTTCCAAATTAAGATATATTTTATTAGTATATACACCTTAAATCATTATGTAGTCTGAGTACCATAGAAGACATTTAGATATGACTATCGCTAGACAGAAAAAGATCCGACTATAAAAGCAACACACAGAGGATAACAAAATATGGATAGTCATGTAATATGGATTTTGTGAATCAAACAACACAGTTTGAATAGGAATACACAGATCACATTCACTTACAATAAACACCTCACTACTTAAGAAAATAGGAAATCACGACAAGAATGCAACTGGTTTTCAAGAATCAGTTATCATCAACATCTGATGCAAACGGGAATCGTTATAAGCTAAGTACCTAATACTAGCATAGTAAAAGATGGAACGGATAAATCAAAAAGATAAAAGGGATTAACTACAACTGAAGTAAAAATCTAGTGATGAATTATACGACACAATGACAATCAGTCTAATATTTAGGAAGCACGGAATGGATGCAACTGTTTCACCACTGGAACTGAATAAATTTATAGATACATGAATGTTCTCTAAGTAACGTTAAAGGTTAGATATTATAACTAATTTTTGAGTAATACTTACCATGGCAATGTCAGCAAGAATACGTTCCGGTGGATTGTGGTGTAGTAGTTGGTCGCATATGAAACTGGATAATGTTGCTTCTGCTTCTCCGATATAACTTACAATCTTCTTATCTACCCAAGGCTTTATTCGAGAATTGACGAAATCCTGAAAGAAAACAATTGTTTGGAAAATTATTTACTGTAGATATTCATGGTGATGGATGAAAAGGGATAAATTAATGTTCATATCATGAAAAGCGCATCAGAACTGATCCAATACTGCTGTAAATTTGTGGAAAATACGAGAACCTTTGTTATGATTTTTTTAAAGACACACTACTTCACTCAACGAGTTCCCGAATCGGAACACGGTTGAACAGAAACAGTAAGAAAAAGGTTGGTGTATTTATAATTATCATATAAGATTACAGTCTGCTCCAAGTCTCCACTAATTGCGTTTCTAGCTTCTCTAGAGTTACTGCCGGTCCAAATACTGAGTAAAGGATGAGGGTTGAGCATGGTGTTAGACAAACAGCAGTACAAAGGTTCAATACAACCTTAGTTCGACATACCGACAAACTCAAGACAGTACTAGTGTACGGAGATGAAGTTTGGAGAACTACCACAACCATCATCAAAGGGGTGCAACTATTCATAAACAATCGTCTACACAAGATACCGAATGTTGAAGAGAATAAATCAGCTTCCAGCTGAAGAGGAAATTATGAGAAGACTCTGGGAGTGGATAGGACATACATTGTGGAAATCATCAAACCGCATCACGAGGAAAGTGCTAACTTTGAATTCTGAAAGGAAAAA